TTCGATGCATACCTCCCGGATTCCATGCTGTCACAATTATTTCAAAGTCGAAAATTTTTCCCGAAATAAGTGGTAAGCTGTTAGACAGCTTAGTTTTGGCTATGATTAAAAATGTGTAAGTAGATTTCGGTCTTACGCATTCGTACCATGATGAATAAATTATAACCTCATTCTCAAAGATGTCGTGTTTAAATGAATCAAAGACGCTATTGCATTTTAAGTGGTCGTAATTTTTGTAAGTCTGCACGGTTGGGGCCGCATACAGTGCTTCTTAAGCTGATGAAGTTTTTCCCCCTTTAAAAAATCTCACCTGAGGCAAATAAGTGATGATGTAGAGGGCGGTGAGAGCGATCATAATGTTTGTCGTTTGATAGATATTCCGGCTATTAGAGTCATGATCGTTCGACCTTTTTATGGAGAGCCTTTTTGAACTTGTGGCTTTGGCACTGCTGTTTGAGTGTTCTAGCTGGGTGGGTGGGATTCTCTGCTCCGTTTCTGTCTTCTCATTTTTTAGTCGATTCCGCCGTCTCTGCGACTTTAGTAGGGTCCGAATCAGCAAGGCAGTAAAGATAGTGCTTAGGACAATGGGCAAGACTTTCATAAACACTCCTGTGGTAACTAGCAACAGTGTTGTCAACGAGTAATTTGATACAAAGTCGAGCTTGAAAGCATCTGTGCCATTGACAGAACGTGTACAGTCCTTAACCACGTGGTGAGCGAATAAAAATGGCGCTGAGAGAATGAGCGATATTACAGCATTGGTAAGGATGCCCATTTTGGCTCGGCTGTAGCTGCACGTGTGTAGAGCTGCAACTCCAGCTCGCATGAAGGCAAGTCGGAAGGCGGAGAGAAAGACAATCATCCATGAGGAAAAGGCGTGGAAGAGATTTTGAGCATAGACCAAAATAAAGAGAGTATAGGCGTAGGGCTTCGACATACCCAATTCAAGTTTTCGATCAATGCGGTACATAGTAACGTAGAATATGTAAATGGCCATGACAGTACCCTCACCGATGGATAGAGCTGCCACTAGGAGGTTGGTGGAGGACTGCATTCCCGGTTGGTTGAGCACGACGACGTTGATAGCGTTGGCAAGTACGCCACAGACACAGATAGCCAGACTGAGGGGAATATGAACGAAGTCGTATCCACGAGTGAAGGTGTGCAGGTGGGAGTACTCAAGGAATGAGCAGTTGGGCATGGTGTCTGTGGCACAGATGTGGATTGTAAATGCGGATATATTGGATGCAAGTGACTCTATTTTGAATTAAAAACGGCTAAAAAATGTACGATTGGTGCGCATGGGATAGCCAATCCCAGCCCAGCGTAGCGGTCGGCTGTAAGGGCACACGGATGCACAGGGAGGGTTAGAGAAGACGAGAGTCGTGTAGATAATACAAAAAAACAAAAAATATCACGTTTATGAGAGACATTACATGTTTGATCTAAAAATTTCTTCAGTGCCTAACATATCGGATGTTGTGACAGATGGAGACTAGATGCATCAATTTTAATTGCGTTATTTTTCATCTGAAATGACTGATTTGGAACAGGTGAAAAGAAAAAAACATTTTTCTATAAGCAACAATAATGTTTTATGCTACTATAAATTAATATGAGAGAAAAGGTTAATGTATCAACAGGGAGAATCATGACTGACTTTTACGGTAAACGATTTAATATTATACAAGGCTATATTAAAAGTCACTCAGAACTGGATGAGGGAAGAGACGATGAGAAATGATGCCCTGTCCCTCGCATAACACCACCAACGAAACACAGTAGATGTGAAGCAGATGTGGAATTAGTAAACTGATACAGCATTGCCGCCTTTTATTTATTCAAGAAAAATTTTTTTACTATAACGCAAGGTTTTAACTGGGAGGTCTAAAATTTTATTACAACTGGTCGTTCTACATTTCCGCGTTTTTCAAATCAGCAATTGTGGGGATCGTTTGGGCGCACCACTTAATTGATTAACTCAAATAAACAACACCTTACAATTTTATGCCTTGTTTACATGCTAAAATGGCAACTTTTAATTGATTACATTCTAAGCACAGAGACAGACAGAAGGTGCCTAAAAAAAACAACCATCCACTCGGAAATAACTCAAAATAAGGGTGGTCCAAATCTGGCATTAAAATGTGTTGATCTTGCAAAGGTTATTTATGATAACTTCGTTGGTTGGAATCTCTTTTCTTGTCTAATACAAACAAAACGGCTTATCAAAAAATAAAACAGGGAATTACTGTTCATTCGCCCCGTACCCATTGATCTTGGTGGTGGTTAAGGCGCCCTTCGAATCCTCCAATGCGTGCTGCCTAATTAAGTTGGATGTTTTGCTGCTGCAGACCAAAAAATAAACAAAAAGGTAGGAGGAATCGTGAACGCTAAATTTTCTCTGCATATGCATTAAATGAGGTCCAATTTTAGTTGTCGAATTGTTTAAAAGGCGTTAGCTGTTATTCCAGCAATTAACTGGAATTTCGAGAGATTAGTCGGATTTTAGGTCAAGAAGCAGTGGCCATCGTTGTAAAGTTTATTAAGTGTGTAGCTTTAAACAAATGCAATTTTTCCTTATGCAGTTGTGGTGTCCAACAACAAATTTTCAATGGACACACTCTCTGTGAAACATTTTTGAAGTCGTCCACCATTTTTAGCAACGGTGGTCGAAAACTCCGTTGACTTAGTAAAGAACGCATCACACCCGGGACAGCCTCTGTTTCATCGACAATTTAAGTGCTGACTTGGATACTCGTGTTCTGCATTTGCGCTTTCTCTAAGCACTTATATTTTATCCTCTTAAATTCGGTTAAAAATAATAATTTATAAGCTTAGCCTTGAAAAGATTCGCTAGATGATAAGCAACTCATCCAGATTCCACTGACTGTTGGGAAGCAACAGATTCATAAAACCTTAACGATTTCTTTGCTCTCTTCTGAATAAGCATTTCGAACGGGTGGATGGGTGGACCTCTCCTTGATGCTTCTGTCGAAGTCCTGCTAGCCCGAAGGACGCATTTTAGAGCGAAGAGCGATTAAAATCTTCCCAGTTGTGACTTTGCCTCTTTACTGGCTGCTACCGCGTAGCTAACCTCCCTTAAAGTAAAAGCCTTCTGCCCTTTTCTCGAAGATTCTAGGTCTGCTAGTTCTGTCACAACTTACAATATTTGTGCAGGCGACAGTGACAGTTCTGTGCCACACCACCCCAACCAAGTTTTTTGTACTGCCTTCATCAAAGCACTTTCAGAGGCTTAAAGAACTTCCTTTCACAGTTGTCTACTTAAATGCCATGACGATGATTTATCTCTTCGAGGGCAAAACAGTAGCTTGTCTACCCACCAACCCACCTGCCTACCCGCGTACTTCCGAAGATCACCACTTTGTGAAGAATTAAGGTTACCATGGCAACTTCGTATCTGTATTCTTCCATTCTGTCGGTAAGATTCGGCTGCGGAAAAAAAAACCAAGTCAAATATAGTTCCGTCTCTTTTTCTTCCCTTGCTTCTCCCACCCCCTCCCCCCACTACCCTGTTAGGAGTATTTTGTAGAAAATACGAGTTTTATTCCAGGCATATATCCACAAAACGAGAAGAATAAATTAGTCAGGAGAGGATAGACGCTGTCAACTGCTTTGACAGAGCAGTAATTTGGGCTTTCGCATTGACCTTTGATTATGCAGTACACTTAATGGAGTGCCCTCGGCCTCTGCCTGTCTCTCATGGCGATGCGTTGAGGCCAAAACAGGGACACAGTGACAGAATTTTCTACTAGTTAAGGGAGAATAAATTTTGTCCTATAAAGCCCAGATCAGGTTCAATCTTTACCTGTGAGACGTGGAAAGTGGATCCAATTAAATGCGTCATAAAATGTGCATATTTTATAGCCTCTACATCTTCATAAATGTTTACACTTTACTTATCAGTCCAGATGTGAAGGTGGGCACGAGGGCGCCTCCCCAGGCCGAATAGCCGCCTGTCACGCACACACAAACACGTGGACAGAGACAGGAAGGTGAGCAGAATTGGCCATCAATGGAAAGGGCTAGATGCAGACACCGTCAGCAATCCACCCCATCACGACCACAGCCATGGTGGAGTTACGACAGGCACCCAAGGAACCCACGAATTGCAACTCGTGAGACGCTGGAGCGGTTGACATTTTGAAGGGGCTAAATTTGTCCGCCTGCTAAAAGACGTCCGTGTCCGAATTTTATGACACTTTGAAAGAAGAGGCTGGAAAAAGGTGATATTTGAGGCACGCAAATTAGGAAATGGTCTGTAAGGCTGTTCTGCATGCCCCCTTTCTGGGACCATTTTCCTCAGCTGTCATACCCAAGTCGTCTTATCATTTAGCCAAGGAGAAAAGCAGTTCTTCCCCACGCATCCTGCCTTATGTACAACAGTCATCAATACCTTTGTCTCTGCAACCCTTACTTTTGCTTCAATAGAAGTTTTTCACCAGATTGGACAGATTTATGCTGCCTTCTGTGGAATGTCGTGTGGTGGTAAATAAGTCCACTCCAACTTTGATAGGCCGGTGATTGCTTATTTTCTTTCTCTATCTCTCTCTTTCTCTCTCTCTCTCTCTCCTACTCCAAAAACATTATCTTTTCTTTCCTTCCCGTAAATTGTTTATTTTAATCCCAACACAGGGCTAAGGGGAGGCGGGTAGAAAACAGAGGTTGGTTTATTTACCTCTCTCAGTTTGCATCGTAGGCGCTATTCTTAAGGCCCTGCTTCCGGGACAAAAAGAAAGAATAATGAATGCCAACCCATACCAAAAAAAGAGGGGGATTTATTGTAT